GTGCAAAAAAAAATCTTAAAACATTACAAAGAGCAAGAGCCACGAACCATCAAAAATGGCCCTGTCTCAAGAAGTAACGGGGTTTTGTCAGTTGATAGTGTTTTTAGCTTTTCTTTGCCATTTTTCTTTTTTGAGTATCGATTATATTTTTTTGAAAAAGAGAGTTTGAAGTATGACGGTGTTTTAAAAGAAAATGCTAGTAGAACGTCATTTTTTGAAACGTAACGTCGTAGGGCGGAAAAATTACCTTGAGTGATTTTACATATGTGATTTTGAATTAAAATTAGTATCAATTGGAATGGACATTTGTCTTACTAATAAACTTCATAATTAATTTAAGACAATTAAGAGCAGTTGGAAATTGATTTCACATCGCAGTCTTGATGGCAACTGCGTTACACTCTACCTGGTCCCTATTCTATTATAATTTTTAAGAAGGAACATTGTATTTCTATCCCTTGAACATATTTTTGTGCGATGCATCGCTCCTAGTTACATGTAAGTATTGAGTATTAAACATCATTAAAAAAAAAAACATATGACTTGCTTCAAATGACGATAGCCCGTCCAACTTAGTTTTCCGGACTTTTTCCAATATGCCTGCAAATATTAAGCTTATATCTTTGGAATGCGCGTCCATGCACGAAGTTTGTTTTTCAAAGTGGGGAAGGGGGCAGTCATAAAAATAATAAGATACTTGAAATGATCTTAAAACGAATGTTTCTAAACTGAAGAGCCACAATGTAATTCAATAACTGGATCTATAGATGTAATTGCAAAAAAAAAAAAAATGTTGAAATGGAAATAGACTTTTAATCAGAAATTCTTAGATCCTGAACTTGCGAGCATTTTAACATATAAAAGATCTAAATGATTTGGAAAAACGGAGGAAGTAAAAAGTTGGAAGGACTTGTTTCTAATCCATTTACAGTAAAACTCAGTTATAGCGAAGTTCTGGAGAACTGCGAAATTACTTCGCTATATCCATAATTCGTTATATCCGTATAACAAATTCCTTAAAGTATACATAGAGATTTTGCAATATGATTTTTTAGCTCACCTGAGCTGAAAGCTCAAGTGAGCTTTTCTGATCACCCGTTGTCCGTCGTCCGTCTGTCCGTCCGTCTGTAAACTTTTCACATTTTCAACTTCTTCTCAAGAACCACTGGCTGGGCCAATTTTTACCAAACTTGGTACAAAGCATCTTCGGGTGAAGGGGAGTTTAAATTGTTAAAATGAAGGGCCAAGTCCCCTTCAAAGGGGAGATAATCAAGAAAATACAAAAATTGGGTGGGGTCATTAAAAAATCTTCTTCTGAAGAACCACTGGGCCAGAAAAGCTGAAACTTATGTGGAAGCATCCTGGGGTAGTGTAGATTCTAAATTGTTCAAATCATGACCCCCGGGGTTAGGGCGGGGCCACAATAGGGAATCCAAGTTTTACATTGAAATATGTAGTAAAAATCTTTAAAAATCTCCTTCTGAAGAACCACTGGGCCAGAAAAGCTGAAACTTATTTGGAAGCATCCTAGGGTAGTGTAGATTCTAAATTGTTCAAATCATGACCCCCGGGGGTAGGACGGGACCACAATAGGGAATCTAAGTTTTACATTGAAATATATAGGAAAAATCTTTAAAAATCTTCTTCTCAAGAATCAATGGGCCAGAAAAGCTGAAACTTATGTGGAAGCATCCCGGGGTAGTGTAGATTCTAAATTGTTCAAATCATGACCCCCGGGGGTAGGGCGGGCCACAATAGGGAATCTAAGTTTTACATTGAAATATATAGGACAAATCTTTAACGAGGTTGGATCCTGATATTTAAAGTCTTAAACTTTTTTTGTCAAGTATATTTTTAGTTTCTACACACATAGCTTAATTAAAAATCAAAACAAAAAATGGGGGTCAATATGCTTCTTTCGGCGCTACAATACATTTAATTTGATCTTTTTGCACTGATATTTGTGTCTTAATCAAAAATCACATCTTCGACGTTTTCCCTCCAAAGTTTTTATCCAAATAAATCATGGGACAAAATAAACTATTAGTCTATTTAAAAAAAGATGCATTAAAATTGTGACGAAGAAAAAGTTTCAAATTGCTTCGCATAATGAATTATTTGACCTTTCTGCACTCACAAATTGTGATTTTTCTGGCATTAAAAATTTAAAAAGCAAGAAAATTATTTTAAAGTCTTAAACTTTTGCTGAATTTAAGCAGATTGATCGAAGTTATCTTATATATTCAGAAAAGAAAAACAAAAGTGGGGTTCTATGATCTAAATTTTTAGATATTACTAAAAAAGTGTTAATTTTATGTTAAAATTGGCTCAATTTTTTCAAGGACTTTCAGAATATATTTACTATATTTGTCACAATATAATGAAAGAATTCATAAGAAATAATTTATTAGATATTTCAGAGCCAGCATAAAACATTTCACTGCAAAAAAACAGCTCTATGTGCAACCAGCATGGAAAAATAGTAATTTAAACTTAACAGTACTGTATATATTTCAAAAGGGAAAAATTGATCATTTTCTTCTAAAAAAAACCTTCCGCCACAAAATATAGTTCCTGGCTTAATCCTATTTTAATGGAATTTCATCGCGGTTTTTTCATTGGATATAGTTTAATTTGCATTGTAGAATCCAGATTCAATGTTAGAACATAAAAATGATGCAGAATTTTAGAAATAAAGGTCCTGACCAAAATCTGCTCAAAAGCTCAGGATCGAACCTCCTTAAAAACCTTCTTCTCAAGAATCAATGGGCCAGAAAAGCTGAAACTTATGTGGTAGCATTCTGGGGTAGTGTAGATTCTAGATAGTTTAAATCATGACCCCCGAGGGTAAGGCGGGGCAACAATAGGGAATCCAAATTTTACATTGAAATATATAGGAAAAATTTTAAAAGTCTTCTTCTGGAGAACCACTGGGATAGAAAAGCTGAAACTTATGTGGAAGCATCCTAGGGTAGTGTAGATTCTAAATTGTTCAAACCATAACCCCCTGGGGTAGGGTGGGGCCACATTAGGGAATCCAAGTTTTACATTGAAATATGTAGTAAAAATCTTTAAAAATCTTCTTCTGAAGAACCACTGGGCCAGAAAAGCTGAAACTTATGTGGAAGCATCCTAGGGTAGTGTAGATTCTAAATTGTTCAAATCATCACCCCTGGAGGTAGGGCGGGGCCACAACGGGGGGGGGGGAGAAATCAGGTGAAAAACAGCAAGGCCAAAGTTACTCAGGTGAGCGCTGTGGCCCATGGGCCTCTTGTTTTTCCTTCAAGTATGGCTAACAAATGTACATGTATTTACAGAAGTATAAAATACAACATTTACTTTGGAGTTCAAAAGTTTTCGGATGAATTGAGTTTCAAATATGATTACTTACAAAATTAATATATCAGTTCAATATTTTAAAAATTGAGATCTTTGAAAATTCGCTCTAAAAGATGTACATTTCGTTATTTCTTCTAGGGGACACAAAATTAGTTCGGTATAACCGTAAAATTGCTATATCTGAATTCGATATAGCTGTAAAATTTTACACGGAATTGTTAGGGATTTTGCAAGGGATTGCAAAAAACTTTGCGATAGCTGTACATTCGGTATATCCGTGTTCGTACTAAATGAGTTTTACTGTATTCATTTATAACAATAATTTGAATGTCGTTTTCGAGACAGAAACATAAAACATTATAGATTAATTGAAAAGGGATGTCGCAACTTATCAAAATGCTTTATTTAGTAAACGGAACTCATTAAAACACTGTCGCCCTAAATGTGAGTTTCTTTGAACAGGGCATAAAATACAGACCCTTTTAAGAATAGAACGATTTGATTTTATGCTCTGCAAACATTTGCTCGTACGAGCATGTGTTTTGAATTGCATAAAGACAATTAAATGATTAATAATAAATAAATTTAATTTTGTACTTGTGTCAACATACTTAATTATCTAAGAATAATCAGAATCGCAAGAAAGACAGTCACTGAAGTTCTGTTGATACTGATGGTGACGATTCATGCGTATTAACTGTAATAAAAATAAGAAGAATTCGAAAAACGGACTAAGAACTATTAAACATTTTTCAACATGACAGAGGGTTTAATTACTGGAAATAGGAAATTTGATATGCCAGCACTTTTCTTACAACTTGTGGTTTAAAAAAAATAATATTTGCACGTATAATTTCGTAACGCGTAACTGCGTGAATAAAATAGGGATTTGCAATAGAATCTTCTTTTTTTTTTTTGATGAAATAAGGAAGATTTATCATTTGTCAATTTGCATGAAAAGTACATTGGACAATTTAAAAAAAAAATTAAAAAGGAGATGTATGATTCAGAAATCTCTAGAAAAAAAGCTGTCTGTTGCTGTTACGTTACGGATTTCATGTAGGATTTCAAGTAGTTACATCATAATGTTAGACAAGTGTTTTAGAAGTAGATATTCCCTTACATAAATACCATAGTTAACTTTAGTTTACTGTAATTAATTATATTTTACGAAAGTACCAAGATTTTTACAATAGTAAATCAAAGTTTTTACTTTAGTAAATCAATATATTTCTAATATGGATTTCAGATTTTTATGCTTCATGCACATTTTTTTTAATATAAAATGGAAATATTACATGAAAACTCAGATATTATTTCCACATTTTACATCATTGTTATCCAATCCAAGATATTATCACCTTTGAAATCCCCTAAAAAGTAAGGTTTCAAAGTAAATCAAAGTCAAAGCATTTAATTTTCGTAACAATAGTTAACTACGGTTATGTTTTGCAAAGGTTTTGTTGAAAAGCCGACTCCGATGAGAAAGGCCTTTATTTGTCTTACCAAACTCCCCCCCCCCCCCCCCCCCAAGATATTTGGGATGAATGCGCATCGTTCAAATGACTGAAAGGGTAATTTGCAATTTCTTTTGAAGAACGGGATTCTAAAAGTGACATAAACAACATTGAAGTCATTTTTTTTTATCACTAACACTGATATTATTTTTTAGTTGGAACATATAAGTCCTTTGGGACAATGTTTTTGTTACACAGAGGGGTAGTACAGCAATAAGAGCACGTGAAATATTTTGGAGTGTAACTGGCTGGATCATATCCAGAGCATTCCGGTCTGTCGGAAGTTTTCTCCCACCATTCCTGTTGGCATTCTTGTTCATTGACACATCTGAAACAACCTTATATTGTATACTTTATTCTGATATAACAAATGTGAAAAGTACAATAAACATGTTTCTGTTTAACACCCTAAAACAAATACGTGTTCTAATCAAATACAGAGCTTCTTTCTCATTAGTATGAGATAATATCTTCTGAACTAAATATCAATACCTAAGGATAAAAAGAAGTTAATAAACCTTTGCCTAGCGCTTTGCTTAAACCATCTCTGATTTCTTTCTAAAAAGGATCAGATATAAGACCAAGACATGCGCTATAAAATAATATTTTGGCATTTGTTATGATTTGATTTAGCTGGAAACTGAACTTTAGACTACATTTGTTTAAATGCATCGAAATGTTCAACATATGTATAGAAAGGCCAACAAATCTTTGAATTAAATGAGCATTACATTTATAAACCTTACAAACACTTAAGCAACAGCATAAGAAATGAAATGAAAGTACATTTATTAATAATTCGAATTGTTTATGCATTCTGCATCTTCACAATTGCACTTCTAATGTGTCAAAAAGCTTAAATGAAAGTCAGTGTATGGTACAACGCCGCAGATCAATACCTTTTTTTCTTTTATATTTATTTTGTTTTCACAATGCAATGCAAACAATCCATACTTTATTTTTATCAGATCTGTGTATATATAGGAGAGAAAGAGAGATTACAAATTTTTATTTTTTCTATTATTACCTAAAATAAATGATTTTCTGTTTTAGAAAATCAAAACAATTGTTTTATTAAATTCGAATTGAACCCCTTCCTTCTGAACAAAAACGAGAGACCAGGTCCCGACAAATTCATAGCTGCAGAATATAATTATTTATTCCCTCAACATCTTATTTGTGTTATTTTCAAATAATTGTTAATTCACAAGGATTATCAACCAAATAAATTCCAAAATTGCAAGATGTTTTCTTTACTCGTCTTTAGAATGGCAAAGGTGAATTCAATAATTCTAAAAAAAATATTAAAAGGCTCAAATAGTGTTTAAACTTTGTAAAGAAATTCTAATACCGTGTTCAATAAAATGATACTGCACAGATTTATTTTTCAATGCAAATAAATAAGGCAATTTATTCACATGTACTTCTACCCTTTTTATACGATGTTATTCATTTCTTTAGGATATATTAGTGTTAGATGGTTGAATACACAATATATCAAAAGGTCAAGGTCAATTTTGGATAAACATGACCTGTGTTTTAGACACTGTCTCTGAACAAACAGGCAACATTTGAACGTAGCACTGTCTGCGTTCATTTTACAAGTGATACGGTTCTTAAAAGATCATATCGACCGAGGCTAAATCTTTGCAAATACAAACCTTCTATCCAGTGTTCTGGAGCCATCTCTATTGTTTACCAATATATTTAAACAAAACTGTTGGTCATCATGTTCACATTGTAATGGTGTAGAAAACTGTTCACATATATATATCGGCATCCCATTGCAAAGGTAACAGGAAGCTATGCGAAACAAAACAAAATAACAACGACAAAATGGAAGCATACATATATGTAATTGTTCATATTTTTATTGAGAGCATAATACAAATATATATTTCTTAACTTTACGCAACCTATTTGTTTGGGATTTTTTAAGTAGACTTGAATAGAAAAATGAAAATCGATCAAGTCAGCAAAAACTACAGCTGTTACTTGGAGAGGCTGTTGTTGAGGGTGTAGTTGTTGACAAAATTGGAGTAGTGTACGAGATAGGCGTGGTCAGGGACGATGTTGGCGTTGACGAGGTAGGCGTTGTCGTGAACGGAGTTGGCGTTGTTAAGATCGAGGTAGGCTTTGTAGCGGACAAAGTGTGCCTTATAGTGGACAAGTTTAGATTGATTGACGAGTTTGGTATTGCTGATATCAAAGTGGGTTTTGTGGTGGACAAAGTGTGCCTTGTAGTAGACAAGGTTGAAGTCATCAACGAGGTAGTTGTTGTTGATATCGAGGTGGGCTTTGTGGTGGACAAAGTGTGCCTTTTTGTGGATACGGTTGGAGTGATTGAAGAGGTGGGTATTTTTGTGGACGAGATGGGCCTTGGCGTTGACGAAATGGGTGTTGTCCAGGACGTCGTGAGATTGGCCAGGGACGAGAAGGGTGTCGTCGTGGGCGAGATGGAAGTGAATGAAATGGACCTCGTTGTAGACTTTGATGTCACTTAATTAAAAAAAAGATCATGACCTTTACAGAGATTTCCTACAATGCATTGTAATTTTATTAACTTATATTTTAATAGCTCTTGACGTGTTCGCCCACTCTTCGTTCATTTTCACTACATACAAGAATTCATTGACATTTGTACACTCATTTCAAAACAGAAGATGAAGTTATCTAAAGTTCCTTGGCAACAGACATCACTGAAATGTTAGTCTCTTGACTCAAAAAACTTAAGTTGTACACAAAAGGTCAGGTAAAAATTTTCCCTTGACACTTTGTTATTTTGTTCTAGAACACAAAATTTCTATTCATATGCAGAATGAAAAATTACAACTTCCCATTTTGCCAACACAGTTTGAAAATTGCTTATGAGACTCTCCTGAAAGAAGATTGTGAAATTAGACATCTGATTTGAAGTTCTGTATTATAATTCACATTATGATACCGATCAATTTGAGTACAAAGCGTTGTAAAAATAGAACATACATAGCTGAGGAATTGCAAATCCACATGTAGATATGTAAAATATATAAAATGTAAAATTCAATTTTAACACAAAAGAAAAAAAAAACAAAGAAATGATTGATATGGAACTCAAATTAAAATATGTCAAAATGAGGAATATTGAAATAGCGGTTTGAAATATTTTTTTTTTCGATTAAAAAAACTCAATGCAAAAAAGATATATAAAAGAATCAGTACGTAGATGAGGTCACAATATTTGACTTTGTCCGCTTTATATGACCTAGATAATAACTGTACTAAAGAAAGGAGACTTTATAAATATGTCCAAATATCAGACCAATATTATGTAATGTATTATTCAAACTCAAAGGTTCGTTTAAACAATACAAATCAGGCGCAGAGAATTACTCTTATACATCAGGGGCTCGTTTCTCAAAAAGTCGTAGATTTGGGCCTAAGTTAGTCCGACTAAGTAAGTTACGCCAAAATTTAGACGGGCCTAAATCGCGTTTCACAAAGCGGCGTAAGACTAGGCCTAAGACTAAGACCTCTCCGCTAAGTACTAAGCATGCGCAGATCGTATTTTATTTGCTTTAGAGACTACAAATACATGTGGCGGATCAAAGTAATATCAAACTTAAACCTAAATACAGAAGTAAGGCACTGGAAGCATGAGCACGCTTGCATGTTTTCGCTCTTCAACATCTTTCAAACAGATATATTACGCAAACCTATCCGTATTTTCAAGGTCAAAGCATTAAAATTAAATAAATATCTTTGTATGCTCAGATAAATTTCAAAAAATCTATATAGGTACAAATTACAATAGAAAAACAAAAACGTGCATGTTCTCGATTGTGATATTTCGATATACAATCGTACATTAAAACCCAAACAATGTACATAGCACATGTACTCGCAAAAAATTGGAATTCAATAAGCATGAAGAATTTTTCTGAAATAATTTTCCTTTGAAATAAGCCATATTGTCTTTTCAATTATGTTTACATTAAAATAAATATAATGGGAAAGGCCTGGAACAGGTTCGTAGCAACGATTTCAAAAGTGAGGGATGAACCCCCTCCCCAAAAAATCTGACAAGCCCACCAAAAATCCTAAACTACCAAAAGGTGGGGTTGGGGGGTAGGGGGATCTCCCAAATTAATGTGACAAAAAAACTTCATTAACTGTCCAAGTCCAAAAAAACCTAATTAACTATCCAAGTCATGGAATTTGCCAAGTCAAAAGCTACATGTAATCAACTGTCCAAGTCACAGAATTATGGAATTTGCCAGTGCTCGACCTTACAGTGTGTGGGGAGGAGGGGGGGGGGGGGGCAAGCAGCATCTCATGGAAAATTTAATATAGCAAAATACAAACAGTGTAAAAGTGGAGGACCGGGGCCCCTTGGCCCCGCCGCGTTCTACGGATCTGTGGAAAATTTAACAATTATGAAATCATATATTATTAAAACATGGATAAGAGATTTTTGAAAATTTATCAGTTGTATTAATTTATAATTTCATAACAGGCCCCAGGATCATGAAACAAACAACTTAGACTTATAAGTCAAATTTTCAATCACCTGTAAAATGTTTATTAATCATTGAATTAATCTTTTAAAAGAAAAAGATGGTGATGTTGAAATTTGCACCTTTCCCGATCTAAATAAATCTGATCCCGACTGGAAATATATTAAATGAAAATATTTCAGAAATTTATAAAAATATTAGATTGCTTGCCTGTAATATGGATTACAAGAAATTGATTAAAAACTAATTTAGCTTTTTGCAAACCTTCATTGAGAATGCATGTGCTAATGGAAATGTTGTATATGCGTATTTTTACATGGACTGTGTAAATTATCATATTGATATCAATGTTATACTGTACATGTTTGTCCAAAGTGTAATACATGTATTTACTAGTAATACATGTTGCAGCTTGAATGCCAAGAAATCTAATTCAGTTTGAATTGATTATTCTGGCTGAAGATTTCATCTAGATTTAAAGGTATTAACAAGTCATGATTTTCATATTCATAAATATTTTAGACAAGCAAAATTTCTTCTTCTTGATATGTTTTATGAGTATATATGCGATTTATGGGAAAAGAGGATTTATAAAATGCAGTAAATGACAGCAAATTGGAAACTCTGTTTCTCATTAATATAAAAACATTTTTAACACGTTATTGACCACTTTCTTTTCAAATGCATGTAATATAAAGTGTTTATCTGTTCATTAATCGATTAAAAGACACTCTCACAAAAATTCCTCTGAGAAAAGTACGATAGATTGTAAATTAATTAAAAACAAGTACCTATTTAAAAAAAAATAGACCCATCTGCACATCTTAAACGCCATGACAGTTCATACTTTGAAATAGGGAAAAACAGTATTACGGACAAGATAATTAATTACTGGAACATTTTACAAATTCATATTTTTCTGTTCTATAAATATTTTATTTATTTAATTGGGAGATTAAGGTAAAAGGTGCATTAACTTAATTTCCCGAATATTTCTTATTATCAAAAATATATTAAATGTATATTGTTTGAGAATTTTTTTTTCAAAAACATTCATTTCAAAAATTAAAAATTATTAGTGTGTGGGGGAGATGTGGAAGGGGGGTAGGTAATTGATTAGCCAAAATATTCAGCAAACGTTGATAGTATGGGAAAACAAATACTGAAAGTGCAGGTCAGCCTAAATTACAACTTAATTTTTAACAGAAAACACCATTACTGAAAAACCGGGAGGGTTGCAGCCCCCACCCCTAAACTACGCGTGCCTGCTTTTTTTGGTTCCTTAATATCTTACCCAGTTTCACAATTCAAAATTCTTACTTATAAATTTCCAGCTTATCAAACCTTTTTTACGGAAGAAAGTCTGCATCCTCGCTGGATTTTTACTTATTTCTATTTACCTACATAATATTGAAAATTTCACATATTTTTCGAATATCATATATGTATACATGAATAGGTATATCAGGTTTTATATCGTATACGTACAAAATAATTATTCTTTTATCTCTTTATGATCAAAACACTTGCCACTTTTTTCAAGTTGTGAACAGACTAAGAACTTGCGCCTACTCATGAGCAGGCGTAGATTTAAGCTTAACTTTAGTCTCGACTAAGTCTCCGCCTTTTTGTGAAACGCTGCTTAGTCTGATTTTTGGGTTTAGTCACTGACTAAGTCCGGACTAAGCTTACGCCCGGTCGTAGGCCTTTTTGAGAAACGAGCCCCAGAGCTTGACATTTAATAACAGGCGATCATATGGTATGTAGATAACAAACACATTTTTAAAATGTAGGCCCCAGAATGGCCAATTGATAGAATGTCTCTAGTTTTTTAACAAAATTTGTCGAAAATGTCATATCTTACAATTTCTTCTTAGAAAGATTATTGATAATTCACATTATAGTGATTTTGTTTCTGGTGTTATTTTTTTTAATAAGGAATGCGTTTAAACAGATTTCCTGATTGTTTTCTACTACCTTAAAAACCTAATCCGTAAGTGAGCAGAAAAGAAAAACTTACTTCATTAAAATCATTACTTTCAACAAATCAACTCAATATTAACTTAATTTTATTTATTCCTTCTTTCTGTTAAAAAAAATCTCAAGTTTTTATGTAACCAATTTTTATAATTGTTATTAAAATTGATATGATTATTTGTATCGTCAACATAATCATTATTATTTTTGGTTTCAATCCCTACTAGTCATTTCTGCTTAGCACAACGTAGCTTACTACAGTTATCATAAGAGATGTAGAACCAAATCTACTCACATTGCATGCTGCATCGATCCATATTACAGAGCCGATACATATCTCCTTCGTTTTCACAACAACGATAGCAAGTCCTTGTTGTTCGTTTGCCTACGATGTTATTAGGTCTAACTGGTGCATGAGTACCATGTTTATTTGGCCCTTCAAGACTACTTGTGCTCAAAGAGTCACAGGTCTAAGCAATGAAATGTAACAAGATAGGACAGAATTATTAAAAACACTAAGTGAATTGTAATGCTTAAAATCTTTTTATATGAGATATTCATCCAAGTAAACATATCAATACCTGCCTGGATGCACAACCAGCACTGTAAACCAAAAATCCATAGTTACTCAAACTTTCTGATGTGAAGCATATCTGTAAAAAGTTTTGTAAAATATGTCTCAAAACCAGTTATTCTAAATGGATGCTCCTGCAAAGACCCGAACTTCAAAAGGACAATAGACAGACAGGCATTTTTTTTTTTACCTCTGCATTGGAAATTATATTATCTA